AACAAATGGGACCTAATTAAACTTAAAAGCTCTTGCACAGCATAGGAAACCATTGACAAAATGTAAAGACAACCTACAGAATGAGGGAAAATATTTGCAAATGATATGACAAACAAAGAGTTAATATCCAAAATATATAAACAGTTCATACAGCTCAATAACAAAAAAACAAACAACCCAATCAAAAAATGGGCAGAAGACCTGATTAGACACTTTTTTAAAGATGATATATGGATGGCCAACAGGCACATGGAAAGATGCTTAGCATCTGTAATTATTAGAGAAATGCAAACAAAACAACAAGGAAATATCACCTCACACCTGTCAGAATGGCTATCATCAAAAAGTTGATAAATAACAAATGTTGGCGAGGATGTGGAGAAATTGAAACCCTCCTACAGGACTTCCCTGGTGGCACAGTGGTTAAGAATCCACCTGCCAATGCAGGGGACATGGGTTCGAACCCTAGTCCGGGAAGATCCCACATGCTGTGGAGCAACTAAGCCTGTGCGCCACAACTACTGAGCCTGCACTCTAGAGCCCGCGAGCCACAACTACTGAGCTCACACGCCACAACTGCTGAAGCCCACACACCTAGAGCCCGTGCTCTGCAACAAGAGAAGCCAACGCAATGAGAAGCCTGTGCACTGCAACGAAGAGTAGCCCCCACTCGCTGCAACAAAGACCCAATGCAGACAAAAATAAAATGTAAATAAATAAATTAATTTAAAGAAAAAAAGAAACCCTTCTACACTGCTGGTGGGAATGTAAATTGGTGTAGCCACTAAGGAAAACAATATGGAGTTTCCTCAAAAAAAATAAAATAGAACTACCATATGATCTAGGAATTCCATTCCTGGGTATATGTCCAGAAAAAAATGAAAATACTAATTTGAAAAGATATATGCACCCCAATGTTCATAGCAACACTATTCACAATAGCCAAGACACAGAAGCAACCCAAGTGCCCATCCACAGATGAATGGATAAAGAAGGAGTGGTACATATATACAATGGAATATTACTCAGCCATAAAAAAGAATGAAATAATGCCATTTGCAACAACATGGATGGACCTAGAGAATATTATACTTAGTGAAGTAAGTCCAACAGAGAAAGGCAAATACTGTATGATAGCACTTAGATGTAGAATCTAAAAAATAATACAAACAGATGTGTATAGCAAAACAGAAACAGACTCACATAGAAAACAAGGCAGTGGTTACCAGTGGGGAGAAGGAAAGGAGGAGGGGAAGTTAGGGGTGGGATTAAGAGATACAAACTACTGGGCTTCCCTGGTGGCGCAGTGGTTGAGAGTCCGCCTGCCGATGCAGGGGACACGGGTTCGTGCCCCGGTCCGGGAAGATCCCACAGGCCGCGGAGCGGCTGGGCCCGTGAGCCATGGCCGCTGAGCCTGCGCGTCCGGAGCCTGTGCTCCGCAACGGGAGAGGCCACAGCAGTGAGAGGCCCTCGTACTGCAAAAAAACAAACAAACAAACAAAAGAGATACACTACTATGTATAAAATAGATAAGCAACAAGGATCTACTGTATGACACAGGGAATTACAGCCATTCTCTTATAATAACTTTAATGGAGTATAATCTGTAAAAATACTGAATCACTATGCCATACACCTGAAACTAACATAATATTGTAAATAATATATGCTTCATTTAAAAAAGAACCTATTTTTCACTACTGCCCCAGGTCACATTCACTATCAAGGAAATTGGTGAAATATTTTGCGGAACATTTGATTCCCACAAAACAAAACCTACAGCTCCTTTTGAAGTCTGGGGAGAGCTGCCATAAGACTCCTGGAGGGCTCCTTAGAGAGAGATCACTGCCCCGTTCCCAGTCAGGAGGTCCGGGCAGGGCCCAGGCCCCCAGGCAATGCTGATCTTGCTGATGAGAAATCTCACTTTGAAAACACCGACTTAGGCAGTACTTCGCAGTTTACAAAGCCCTTTCATGCATTCTACCTCACTGAACCCAAGCTACTAAAGAATTGCTAAGTCAAAGCTGCTTGGATTTCAGGAGTCCTGTGGGTAACACTGGGGAATTGCGACACAGCTGACAGGGCCAGGACCTCGAAGAGATTTTAACTGAGCACATCTTTGCTCCAGGCACTGGTCACCATTGGTTCAGAGAAGTGAAGTCGCCTGTCCAAGGTTGAGCAGCTCGAAAGGAAGTCAGATTTGAACCCAGGCAGTGGCACTGCCTTTCTTACACATGACAAGAAAGTACTTGGTGTTCAAAAATACTTGTGATACATGCCGCGGAGCGGCTGGGCCCATGAGCCATGGCCACTGAGCCTGCGCGTCCGTTGCCTGTGCTCTGCAACGGGAGAGGCCACAGCAGTGAGAGGCCCGTGTACCACAAAAAAAAAAAAAAAAAAAAAAAAAAATACTTGTGATATGAAGCCTAGGTACCGGATCCTGGGTTAGCCCGCTTCCTCTGGTTTTGTAGAACGGAGGCTCAGTCAGTGCACTGCCCCACACTGGGAAGCTGCAGAGCCAAGAGCCTCTGTGCTTCACGTCCCCCCTCCGTCTGTCAGCAGGGACTCCTTTCCCGGGGTACCTTGGCCTCCCAGCAAATCTCCATTTTCCGCTGTCCATCACTTGGTTTCTACTGCTGACTCACGTATGATCTCATGGCCTTGTCGTGCTGCTACCTCACTGTGAACTGGGTCAGCGTATCCTTATTTCCCAAACAGATGCTCTCAGGCGGGAACTGGAGGTGGGCGCTCAGTCGTGCCAGGCTACCTCATCAGTCACCACTAGCCTCTGATTGGCTACTGGGGGTCAGGTGACCATCTGGGGCCCTACCCCTGGGCAGGGGAGAGAGGCGTGGCCTCATCTCAGGAATCAGAGCCCACGGCGTGAGCAGTGTCTGTCCACTAAATGAGTTAGCATGATGGTGACCTAAGAAAAACGTCGAGAGATGCCAAGAGTATCTGGTTACAGCTAAATCACACAGATTTCCGCTAAGCCATCTTCTGCTTGCCACGGCACCTTGGGCCGTTTCCGCAGAGCTGGGCATGGGAGAGGCTCCCAGGGACTCTGCCCAGGTGGGGGGCTGAGGGGCCACCATCCCAGGCTGAGTGCTGTCGCCCGGAGTCATGTCCTCTGGGGCCGAGACAGCCTGCACAGCACACCTAACGTTTTTAAATGGGTGTAAATGTGGTTTAAATAAACGTCAGAGGCGATTTTACTCAACAGAATCTGTAGCAGGAAATGCACTGAGCACCCAGGAGGTGGGGGCTGCAGGGAGCCAGCTGACATCGCCTTCCTTCAGCAGTAGCTCCATCAAAGGGGGGCCTGGAGACTGGTCCCATTCTTCTCATCCATCAGGACATCTCTGACACTGGGCTGCTCATGGAATCAATGCCACGACAGCAGCTCGTTTCAACAAAACGCACGTGAGCCCCACTCCACGCTGGACACAGAAAGCACAGGTATAAACAGTGAGAGGAACCAAGGGGCCCCTGTGGTCTGATGGACAGAAAGCAAGGACCCACTGGTAAGAGTAAAAACAAGGGGGCACAAAGCTTTGGAGTCAAGATCCGGAGTGTCTGTATGGAGTCTTCCTGCCTCTAAGCCAGTGGTTCCCTAAGGCCGGCATGCCAGGCTTGCCCACCCCCAGGGTCTGATCCAGTCGGCCGGGGTGAGGCCCAGAATCTGCATTTCTAACAAGCCTGCGGGAGGTGCAGACACTGCTGGCCAGGGGACTACACTTAGAGCTCTGCTCGACGTAGCTGCGGCGGATCCCTCTGTGTCTTGCTAGGCAACTGCGGAGGCAGGGACGGCACTCCAGCCCGTGAGAAGAAAGTGGGGAGCAGGTCGGGTCCCCCCACTCGTAATGGCAACTTCCGTTACTGGACCTGCCGAGACAGGTCTTTGGGTTGAGAACGTGAGTCAGCTGAGGACATGCTGCCCTGCAGTCATCGGCCAGTCGGTGAAAAAGGGGAGTCGTGGAGGCGGATGGGAGACTGAGAAAAGGAGGATGGAGACGGCCAACAAACACAAGAGAAGATGCTCTGCTTCGCTAATGATTAGAGAAATGCAAACCAAAACTACAATGAGCTATCACCTCACTCTAGTCAGAATGGCCATCATCAAAAAAATCTACAAACAATAAGCGCTGGAGAGGGCGTGGAGAAAAGGGCACCCTCCTACACTGTTGGTGGGAATGTAAGTTAGTGCAGCCACTATGGAGAACAGTGTGGAGGTTCCTTAAAAAACGAAACATGGAGTTACCATATGATCCTGCAGTCCCACTCCTGGGCATAAACCAAAGAAAACTCTAATTCAAAAAGATACATGCACCCCAGTGTTCATAGCAGTACTATTTACAATAGTCAAGACAAGGAAGCAATCTAAATGTCCATCAACAGATGAATGGATAAAGAAGATGTGGTACCTATATACAGTGGAATATTACTCAGCCATAAAAAGGAACATAATAGTGTCATTTGCAGAGACATGGACGGACCTAGAGACTGTCATACAGAGTGAAGTAAGTCAGACAAAGACAAATATCATATAATATCACTTATATGTGGAATCTAGAAAAACGGTACAGATGAACTTATTCGCAAAACGGAAATACAGACACAGATGTAGAGATCAAACTTATGATTATCAAGGGGGGAAGGAGGGTGGGATGAATTGGGAGATTGGGATTGACATATATACACTATTGATACTATGTATAAAATAGATAACTAATGAGAACCTACTGTAGAGCACAGGGACCTCTACTCAGTGCTCTGTGGTGACCTAGATGGGAAGGAAATCCAAAAAAGAGCAGATCTATGTATACGTATAACTGATTCACTTTGCTGTAGAGCAGAAAGAAACACAACATTGTAAAGCAACTATACCCCAATAAAAATTAATTTAAAGAAAAGAAGAAAAGAAAAGGAGGATGGCTGCCCGGAGAGCCAGACAACCTCATCCTCCTGTTCTCCCCTCCCTCCTTCTGCCACTCCCCACTACCGGCTACTCCCCTTCCCTTTCCCTCCTTTCTCTCTCCCTCCCTCTCTGTCTATCCCTCCCAGACACACGCCTTGACAGTCTATCCTCCCTAGTTTGCATTTACCATGTTCACATGAGCTTTGACAGCACTTAGACTGTGGACGGGTCAGGCATCCATGTACTTGCTCAAGTTCTCTTCATAAGGCCCACCCTGAGCTCACACCTAGTCTGGCCTGTGGGTGACCTTCCTGGAGGCTCTTAGTCCCAGGCCAGCCCAGCACCCTCCCTTGAGGTCCTCAGCCTTGGTTTCTAGGCTAGAACCTAGAAGAACAAGGGACGAGAAGGTGGCAGCGAGGATGCAGGCCATAAAGAAGCCAAGTCGTGCCCCGCAGAGGGCTGCGGCTGGCCTTAATTAAGAACGTGTCCTAAAGGCCTCTGGTCGAGAGGAGTGTTCTGAGGGTCAGCACACGTGGGACCAAGGGGCTCTGTTTAGGTGGAGGGGAAAGTAAAAAACTCTCCTTATTCCATAATCACACCTTATATTCCAGCTGGGAGCCAACCTGCCCTCTGACCACAGCTGCAGGACTGACCCCAGGCGAGGCCACGGGAAAACCTCTCTCCCAGTCCAAGTCAGCGCCCAGAAAATCGTGAGGCAAGAAGATGCTGATGGTTTCTGGATGCTAAGTTGCGTGAGTGGCCTGTGAAATTCCTTTGGAGACAAAAGCAAACTATATGTGCTGCCCTCTACGGCCAGCCTGCCCCGCCACACCCCCTCCCAGGACCTGCAGCCTCGTGTAGATGGTGCAACTCCTCTCCTATGAGTATGAAGCATGGAATCTCAGAAGGGGCTGCTGGCAACGGAAGAGGGGCTGTAGGGTGATTTATCGGCCAGCGCTGACGGAGCCGTGACAACCTGAAGGAGGCCCAGTCAGGAGAAGCAGACACTGCGGGGCAGGTGCTGGCCAGCAGGCGGGAGGGCAGGGAGAGGCCAGGGCGTCCAGAGCTGCCCCTTCCTCCTACTCCCGGCCCATCCCCAGAGCAGCCTCTCCTGGGTGACATAAGTGAACCTCCTGATGAGCGAAGCGAAGGCAGACTGCAATATTCTAAGAGATATGTAAAGGAATTAAAAAAAAAAAAAAATGCAGCTTGCCCGAAGGTGTTTATTGCAGTGCTGTTCACAGCAGCAAAAAAATCGGAAAGGGCTGAAATGCCCCGTCCCCCCACCCCAAGAGGAGCCTGGGGAGGGGCGATGCCTGCAAGCAGCTTGGAAGAAAACTGCAAACTCCCTCCCAGCACGTGGAGAGGGAGACACGCCCATCATGATGCCTGGGAAAAGGCAAAAGGTTATATAAATAGTTGACATTTTCAACTGTTCCTGTAAACTTGTGAATATCAGGGAAACTCACATGAAAGGAAAGCTCTTCTTTCACAGGAGGCTATAAAAAGAGACGCTGGGTGCTGACCAGCATCCGCTTTCTCTTTTCCTTTCCTCAGCACATCTCTACCAGCCACTCCCTCCCGTGTCTGTCTGGACTGGTGTCTCCAGGGCTGTGTGAGCACCCCTCAGGGGAGGAGGGGTCAGAGGGCTCAACTCACAGGCTGCCCTGCCGGCCCTTCGGAGGACCTGTGAACACAAGAGGGCAGGGATGCCACAGGCCGTCTTGTCCCAGGCAGGAGGCAGAGAAGTGCTTTCCGTGAACACTGTCATCTGACTCATGAGTGTTGTTCAAAGTCTCTTCCTCCCCCAGAAGGAAGGCAGCAAGGCTTGTACCAGGTCGGGCCATCCTTCTGGCAGGAGAAGCACAAAGAGTAATGTTCTTGGGGGCTGTGTGGATCCCCAGCGTTTACTGACGGCTCCCCACCTGTGTGCTATTACTTCCCCCGGGTTCCAGGTGGGGAAAGAGGGCCGAGGAAGTGCCACAGCAAGCACCAGAGCAGGACGGCACCTGCTTCAGGTGTGGCTGATCTGAGCATCACCGCGGTGCCTCGCAGGTAACAGTCCTAATAAATGCACCGATGCAGCACACGCCCTGGGTCGGGACCTGGTTGGGGACTCTAGGTGCTTTATCTAATCAGTTTCATCCCACTGTGAGCGATCCTGCCTTATGTCTGGGACACCGAGACTCAGTGCGATTGGGTGAGCTGCCCAAGGCCCCAATTACGTGAAATCTGTGCTCATCACCATAACAGCTCTCAGCGGCTTTTCTGGAAGAAGGAGCTGTCCTCTGTGTTGTTGGAATGGGCACACCGTCCTCGAAAGACCCTAACGTGGGTTCAGCGACAGCGCCAACTCTTGGGTGGGGTGGGGGCCCTGCGTAGGTGTCTTTTGCAGTTAGTGAGGGCATTTGGCATGCTCTGGGACATGTGATTCGGACGCCAGCAACAGATGTGGGTGACCTTATTCCCTAGAAAGTTCCCCAAAGCAAAGTGTTATTGTGCATCTTCTATACCTTTTTCAAAGACGATACAAATAGAGCATAGCAGAATGCCAAGGGCATCTTCTGGAAGCACCTCGGCTCTGTTGCAGCCAGAGTTTTCCCACAGGATCTGGGGGATAAGGTGACAGCCCTGAGTCTCAGGAGAGGGCTGGTCCTTTTCCAGCCCGGCCGGCGTGTGCAGCTTCCCACGCAATCCCTGGGCAGGGAGTGTGCTCCGTAGATGATGTGCTCCTGGAGCCCTACCTTACGCGTGAAGGTCTGGAGTAGCTTTGCTGCCAGGACAGAAGAGCAGAGGCTTCTGGGCAGAAAGGTGCCGCTGTGATGCTGCTTCTCTTTAGTGGGTGTCTTCTCTGCACCCTCTGAGTGGGCATCTCTATCCCTCATGGTGCTTGGAGCTGTGAAGAAAAACAGCAGCTGGAAATCTCCACGGTGAGGACATGCGCTGGCTCTTGGGACCAGAAGCCCAGGGCTGGGTGGTCCAAGAGGACTTCACGGCTGCGTTCCCTCCGCTGCTCCACTGGGAGGTCCACGGGCGGGCTTCCTCCTCAGCCGGACCCCTGGAGCCAGGAGGGCTGCCAGAGCGATGGGGACACCCTGCTTTCCTGTTCACAACCCGTGGCCCACAGAGAAAGGACCCCCCATGTGGTTTTGTCCAAAGGGACACCTGAAGGGGCCCCATGGAGGAGCTCAGGACACAGACCTCGCGTAGATGTGTGTCCAGGTTTTCTGGCCTTGGGGCATCTGCATTTTACCCACAGCTCTTGACTTCCCAACTCACTCCCTGCTGGACCGAAGCCCTGTCTGGTCCTTGGCCGGGCACTGAGGACCTGCCATGGACTTCTGCCAGTGACTGCACCTGGCAGCCACCTCCATCCCCTTGCCCTACGATGGATGCTCAAATGCCACCTGGCATCTCATCATCAGGAGGGTCACCCACTTGCAAGAGTCCTACCTCCTGTGGACTTTCGGGTTTGCTACCTGGCTGCATTTGCTCCAGCCGCCTTCTGTCTTCTCTAGGGATGGCTCCTCCCATGGCCTATTTCTGGGTCTGCCCACCTGTGGGTGCCTCTGGTCTCAGATGGTCAGAATTCTCAAGCTGGCATCCAGGCCAAGTTCTCAAACTCCCTAAAAGCTGGTGCGGGGGGAGCTTGCAGGTCAAAATCCCGAACTTGAATAAAAAAAGATGTCCTATCTTCCTCCGCACTGGACTCAGGGCCACAAAGAAAGGAGATCACGTTTTATGATCCCCAACACAGATGACAGCCCTTTTCCTGAAGGGAGAGAAGTTCACTATATTGAAATCTAATTGCAGAATTTTACCCAAAGAAATCTCACTAGGTCACACATTTAAATAACCCATTATGTGGAAAATAATAAAATGATGAGAAATGACAGTGGACACAGCTGGGAAAGGTGGACAGGGGTGGGACTTGGGTGAGAAAAGTGTGGCTTTAAACCCTAGAGCTGTCATTTACTGGCTAGGTGACCTTGAGAAGTCAGCTAGCTTCCCTGAGTCAGCTCTCTGAACTATAAAGTTGGGAGGATAGTTGGTGGTAATGTATATTGGTACGGCCACTATGGAAAACAGTATGGAGGTTCCTTAAAAAGCTAGAAATAGAGGTATCTTATGATCCAGCAATCCCATTCCTGGGCATATATCCAGAGAAACTCTAATTCTAAAAGATACATGCACCCTAATGTTCATAGCAGCACTATCTACAATAGCCATGACCTGGAAGCAACCTAAATGTCCATCAACAGGTGAATGGATAAAGAAGATGTGGTACATACAGACAATGGAATATTACTCAGCCATAAAATAGAATGAAATAATGCCACTCGCAGCAACATGGATGTACAAGAGATTATTATACTAAGTGAAGTAGGTCAGAAAGAGAAAAACAAATACTATATGATATCACTTATATGTGGAATCTAAAAACATAATACAAGTGAACTTATTTACAAAACAGAAACAGACTCACAGACATAGAAAATAAACTTATGGTTACCAAAGGGGAAAGGTTGGGGGTGGGGGAGGGATAAATTAGGAGTTTAGGTTTAACAGATGCAAGTTACTATATAAAATAGATAAACAACAAGGACCTACTGTATAGCAAAGGGAACTATATTCAATATCTTGTAATAAACCATAATGGAAAAGAATATATATATATATGTTTAACTAAATCATTTTGCTGTACACCTGAAACATTGTAAATCAACTACACTTCAATAGAAAAAAATAGCACCGTAAACCACTAAATAAACACTTATTAAATGTGAAAAGAAAGATTGGAAGGATAATATTTACCTCAAAATGTATTGCTAGGATTAACTGAAATAGGTATATATATATACATATAAAGTATGGTGTATAGTGTGAGGTATGCCTCATAGTTCTCGCCTGCCTGGGGTGAGGCAGCTGCTTAAGAAACAGGGCTTGTTTTGAGGACAACGAAAAAGGAGGAGAAGATGAAATAAAAGGTAAGGGGAAGAAGAAGAGGAAATACTGAGTTTCTCCTGGAAAAATCTATCACAGAGTCCCTCAATCTTTAAATCTTATGAGTTCTAAACAATAATGGTCCTGGGTGACACCTCTGCACAAAGAAGAAAGACTTTGCACGTTATCATAAAACACGATTCTCCTCTGTGCACTTGACACCTGCACACGTGCCCAGCAGAAGCACCGGCCCCAGGATGGTCACCCACACTCCCCTGATCCCTGTCCGCCTGGGTGGGGTTTCTTCTTCAACAGCGAGGGCTGGTTGCGGGATGCTTATCAGCTACATCTCCAGGATTAGTTGTTCTATTTTCTGTGAGTCTCACACCACTTGCTGGCAGATTAATCCTCTTAAAGAATGACTAACTGAAGGGGTTTCTGGTTTTAGCAATTTAAACATTAAGATGCTGCTTCAGGGCTTCCCTGGTGGTGCAGTGGTTAAGAATCCGCCTGCCAATGGAGGGGACACGGGCTCGAGCCCTGGTCTGGGAAGATCCCACATGTCACGGAGTAACTAAGCCCGCGAGCCACAACTACTGAGCCCATGAGCCACAACTATTGAGCCCGCGCCCCTAGAGCCCGTGCTCCGCAGCAAGAGAAGCCACCGCAGTGAGAAGCCCGCACATCACAATGAAGAGTAGCCCCCGCTCGCCGCAACTAGAGAAAGCCCGGGCACAGCAACGAAGACCCAACGCAGTCAAAAATAAAATAAATAAGATAAATATATTAAAAAAAAAAAATGCTGCCTTAAAATCACAGTCACTACCCTTCTCACACACCACACCAGCTACGCTTGCGAATACAAAATCTTCCATCGCTCTAGATCAATTTCACCAATTAAATAGTTCTGGTCTTATTTTAGATTCTCCTATTAGCTCTTGAACGTTGGTTATTAAAACCATAAAGTGTACTGGGCTGAAAATCTATTTCATTAAGGAAAGTTTGTACACTATTAGTGGTTAATTAACGTCTAATTGAGTGAAGGGGCTGACTTGACTTTTGTTTTAAGTAGTTGAAAAGGAGCTCCTGATTTAGAAGCATGAGCTAGCATACTTAGGGATTCAGAACTGTATGTCATCCCCCAGATCCTAATTCCCAGGACTCTTCTTCTACAGGAGGTGGGGTCTTGGCTTTCCACTGCCACAAGGGCCACGTCCTTTTGTCTAGAGGTGGCTGGCTGTCCATTTACCAGCCACCCTTCTGAACCTTCTTTCTTGTTACGTTAAAAGTGCCCGATGCTCACTCACCTTTTTACCTTTTGCTGCTAGGGCGTGGGCCCGAGACCACATTCTGGCCACATGAGAAGAAATCTCCTGGAGCCTCTGGAAGGAGGCAAGGGAGGAGAAGTGTCCCCGTCCTGCTTGTGAACACAGCTATAAGGAGCAGCAATGTCCAGAGCTAGACCTCCACACCAGAGGCACCGTGACCTCTACGTCAAGGGTGACCAGGGCCCGGGTCATGATGACGGTGGCAGGCCCTGCTCTGTTCCCTGCAGCCCAGAGCATCCTGAGGGGCGCCGCATTCTTTCAGCTAAGATGGAGATGACTCAGAATGAGCACGGGAGGCGGGGTGCAAAGGCTGCCTGTCCACGCCAGCCACAGGCCACGCTGATGGATCAGCAAAGCTGCCCTCCCTGCGAGCCGGGCACCGTGCTCACTGCTGCCCGTGGTCTCCACCGCCGCCAGAGGGGCTGCCTGAGAAACTCAGCCTGGAGGAAATGTGTGGCTCACGGGAGGGCATCTACGGCTCTCTCCACAGCCACGAGACACTGATGGAAGCAGGATTCCCAGGCAGCTCGGTGGACCCGCGGCTTTGCGCTCTCCCCCGCGGCAGGGCCATGGCCTTGGCAAAGCGGCAAAGCAGCCCGGGGGGGAACCTACACGCCCCGCAGCCAGGCTCGGGGGCCCCGGAAATGGCTGCCACTTGGGAACGGGGACCGCTTTTGCTGTCTGTGCTGAGTTTTCAAGGCACGCTAAGACTGTGATTTTAGGCAAAAGATTCAGGCTTTTAACCCTATTCTAAACATTTTAAGCACAGTAGAGACCACCCCCTTTCTCTCCTCTCCCAAGCCCACCAAAAATGCATTGACCACAGTCAGCTCGTGCTCGGCTGCCTGCGGGAGTTTCTTGCACTTCCTCTCCCTCCCCAGCTCCTCTTCCGCTCTGCCAGGAACCTCCAGCCCCACCCACGGCCTTCAAATGCCTGCCTCCAAGAGAACCTCTTGTCCTCTCCGTCACAGGCCACCAGCAGAAGCCCCCCAGCAGGTCTCCTGGCACCACAGTGAAGCCAGGTGGAGCCAGGACACAGCTGGGATCCTCCAAGTCTTGCAAGTCACCCAGTGGAGCAGGTAGACATCTGTATGCAAAACAAAACAAAACCTTGACCCGCACCTCCCGTCATCTATAAAAACTAACTCATAAAACTTAAAGCTTAAAAACTGTAAAACTTCTAGGAGAAAACATAGGAGAAACTTGTTGCAACCCTGGGTTAGGGAAGAATTTCTTAGATGGGATACAAAAAAAATGCAAAAGGATAAATTGATAACTTTTACCCAAAAAATGAAAAACTTCTGTTCTTTGAAAGATACTGTTAAAAAATGAAAAAGTCTGGGAGAATATATTTGCAAAACACATATCTGCTAAAGTCCAGGTATGCAGAATATATAAAGAATGCTCAGAACTCAATGATAAGAAAAAAAACTGTAAAAAAAAAAAAAATGGGCCAGAGATCTGTACTTCAGAAAAGAATGTAAATGTATAGCAAGTAAGCACATGAGGAAGTGCTCCATGTTATCTGCCGTGAGGAAAACGTGAATTAAAATCAGAATGAGACATCATTACACACCAGTCAGGATGGCTAAAATTAAAAAGGCTGACAACACCAAGTGCTGATCAAGACACAGAACAACTGAAACACATGTTTTTTGGTGCAGATGCAAATGACACAGTCACTTTGAAAACAGCCTGTCAATTTCTTACAAACTTAAACACATTTCATTTGACCCCGAGATCTCGCTCCTACTTACGTTCCCAGAAAAACCCACATAGCCACATACTCATAATTGTCCCAAACTGGGACTAGCCCAAATGTCCATCAGCTAGTGAATGGATGAACAAATTGAGGAACATTGAAAAGGAACAAGCTGTTGGTTCACGGATCGACATGGATGAATCCAAAGGCTGCATACTGTGTGATTCCATTCACGTGACCATCTTGAAAAGGCAAATCGTTAGGACAGAAAGCAGCTCAGTGGCTTCTGGGTGTGGGGAAGGGGCACGAGGGAACCTTTGCGGGAGATGAAATTGTTCTACATCTTCACCGATGTCATGGTAACACAACCGTATACCTTTACAAAACGCTGCAAAATACGAATTTTTCTGAAGGCAAATTGAATCTCAATAAAAACCAGACTTAAGAAACATCCTTCAGGTGACTACCTGGTTGTAAAGTCATCTGATTCAAGCTTCCTCAGGAAAAGGAGAGTTTTCTATATTAAGACATCATAAGGAAAATGGGTTTCATGGAAATTTGACACAAGAGGTACAGGAGCCCAGGCTCAGGCAGACAGGAGAAAGAGGGTGTCTGTCTGGGGCTGACTTTCAGCCTCTCCCTTCACAGACTAAGCCTGGAGCAGTCAGTTGTTCCTCACCTGGTCTCTGGGGCCAGACCCCCTGCGGATCCTAGGTGCAGACATCTGGCTGGCCCGTCCTTCCACCCACCAGCAAACACACACCTTGGGCCAAGTGTCATCAATTGCTGTGTAGGGGCCAAAGAAGGGTGTGGGTATTGGGGGACTATGGACAGTTCCACATGGGGGGAAACTGTGCCGGTGGACCCCAAACAGACAGATCAGACCCTCCCACCACCTTTGGGATAAAGCAGAAACGCCAGAGCATGATGAAGTCCCTTCTTACCTTTGCATCCTGGTGTCTCGTCAAGCCTCCTGACGCCCTCGTTTGCTCTGGCCTGGTATTTTATGATGAAATGCAACTACTTGGTAAGTTCCTTCTTGGCTCTGGTAGGGCCCGGAAGTCTCCCTCCATCTGAGAGGCCTTTTCTTTGGGTCCCTCTTTGTGGAACTGACCATCTTGGATACTCCGGGACTCGCTGGGGCACTGCTGCCTCTAGGAAGTCTTCCTGGAATGCTGCCAGGCTCCCCACCTCTGTATGCCAGGGGCAGCCTGTATTTCTTATTCTGACTGCAGGTGGGTCCCGCCCCCACCAGTCCTTACCGCTGACCACTGGTTTCCAGCACTCCCTGCCTGGTGCACCCGCCTGTGTCCAGTGGGGCCATAGGCCTGGCCTCCCCCCACAGGAGCGGGAGTGAGGCCGGGCCACTCTGGCCAGAGCATTTCACTGTCAGGGTGCCATTCACCTCATTCTCTTTTCCTTCATCAAGGCCGTTGGCAATGTTTGAGCCGGAGCCCGGGCCCCAGGGCGCAGCATTCGTGTCCTCCATTCATTTGCTCTGCTGATGCATTCACCTACAGGATTTGGCTTCCCAGCGACGGATGACATTCCCCCAGAGCGCCCACTGAGCGCCAGGCACTGCCCCTGCTGGAATGGCACCTGGTTATCCTTGTCCCATGCCCACAGCCAACAGGGGAGAAGGTATTAATCAATTCCTTCCTAATTATAATTAGTCTATCAAATTCTCTACTTCCAGCTGAAGGAGCCTCCAGCACATCCTTGGATAATTGAACTCCTCATGATCACGAAATCCCGTTTTCTGTCCTGACGCCTAACTGCTACCAGTGCATTTCCCTCAAGTGAAGCTCTTGAGCCCAAAGCCACACCGCGTGGCTGGTTCTCCAGGGTAATGGGCATCCCACGTGGCTGTACCATACGGTGGCGGCTTCCATCCTACCGAACAGGAGCACGCGGCCCCGGGGGCGTTTAGAATTTGCAGCAGGAGAAGGCACTAAGCTGCAGTCTGCCCACGGGATCGGCTGGCCCGGGTCGCCACACAGGGGACAGCTGCAGCTTCTACAGCCACCACCAGAGTGACAAGTTCATGAACTTGGATCACATAGTGGTGCTGAGTGGGCCCTGCCCAGAAGAACCATGCAAGGTCTACGCGGAGCTGGGAAATGTGGGGAATGAGGGCCTGTCCTAGGAATTCTGGGGGTTGCTGTCACCATGAAAACACTTGAGGACATTTATTTTCATCCCTTCTCAGTGAAGAGTAATGTTTGAAAACCCATACGTTTTCAGACAGCTAAATACGATACCTGACCCTACAGTGGAGGATCTTGGGATGGAGGGGAAAGAAATACTATAAAAGACATGGTCAGACCAACTGGCAAAACTGGAATATGGACCAAGAATAGATACACATATTTTATCAATATAAAGCTACGAATTTGGTAACTGTACTGTGATTATGTAAGATAACATCCCTACTCGTAGGAAAGACATATCAAAATATACAGGGGTAAGGGGTTATAATAGGGTGTGGAACTTACCTACAAATGATTCAGGAAAAAATGTCTATGCATAAAGTGCTTTTCAAATATCTGTTAAAGCCCGCTGAGTATCAGCCTTTCCGGCTGGCGCAGGCTCTCCTTGCTCATTGGAGCCTTTGGCAAAGCTGTAAGAGTCAAAGCTCATACAACTTTCGAGAAGTGGCCCAACTCTTTCTTACTCTTCTTTAATTTGCTCTGGATCCTTTGTCTACAACAGGAGTCTTTGTGCTCAGTTTGGTTCTTCCAGAAACTAAGCTCCTTCCCATTATTCCCTCTAGATTTTCATCCTTGGGGTTTTCTGAACTTGGGCCAATGGGGAGATATTTTCTGGAGGCTTATTTCAGTTACAAGAAAGGATGAACTTTCATGGATAAATCAGGCCAAAGGTGGGAAAAACAAGAGCTATAAAAAGTGCCCTAAAGGGTTTTGGCAGAATCCTTTTTCTGCACTTACCAGTTACTTGACCGGCGGCAAGTTATCTAACCTCTGGGAGATTTGGTTTCCTAGTCTGTGCAGTGGGCATCTCCTAGTAACAAGTTCAGAGGGTTAAATAAGAGGATTAGTGAAAGTTGGGCACAAAACGCATGCTCAGTAAAGGTAAGCCGTTACTGCGGCTGCTTTTATAACATCAAATCCCAGAAAGACATAATTATTATCATCCTATTTGTATTATAATTTTGATTCAGTAGAGATTAATAATCATATTAATGACAATGGTTTCCACTAATTCAGGAGTTCCTTCTTACCAGTTGTTTTATGTTGCAAGTAACACCTCATTTAACCCCCAGGACATCACTCCGGAGGCGGGCTTATTAGCCCATTTCAAAGATAAGGACTTTGAGGCCCGGTGGCATTAAGAAAATACGCAGGGCCTCCCACTCCACCCGCGCTCTGGTGCTGGCACTCAGATAGGGAAACCGTGGCTATGAGAGAGTCTAGGCTCCAGACCCGGCTGGCGGCGAGCGGACACTCGACCCCAGGTTTCCCGGTCCCGGGAGGGACCGCAGCCCACGGCACAGCTCGTGCAGCCACCTCTCCTCCGTCCTGTCCTCTCGCTACGCCCGGGACGTAGGATCGAGGCCGCACAGTTCCTTCTTGAGTTTCAAAGAATTCGCTTGCAAATTGCCTTCCAGGACAGGTCCGATGTGTGTTTCGCGGACGCCCCAGCCTGGGTGGTCGGGGTCCCGCGTCCGGGGGTCCCGGGGGCGGGACGAGGCGTGCCGGCGCCCCCGCCCGGCTGCGGGTCCCCAGCTCCCCGCGCCGGCCCTCGGCAGCAGCAGCGGCCTCCGGGAGCTCCGGCCCCGCGCCCCCCGCGCCCCGCCCTGCGTCCAGGCCGCGGCCCCGCCCGCGCTGGCGCCCCCGAGCGGTCCGGGCGGCGGCGGCGGCGGGAGGAGGAGCAGGAAAAGCGACCGGGGGAGGAGGCGGAGGCGGCGGAGGCGGAGGCTGAGGCAGCGGCGGCGGTGGCGGTGGCGGTGGCGGCGGCGGGCGGGGCCGGGCGGGTTTAAAGCCCATCGAGGGGGTGGGGAGGCCGGGAGGAGGCAGGGAGGGACGCGAGCGGCGCGCCGCGGCGGGCTGGGCGCTCGGAGGCCGCGGAGCCCCGCGCGGAGCCGAAAGTTTGCGCGCGGTCCCCGGGCGGCGGCGCGCGGGGGCCGGGACCGCCCTGCGCGCCGCCCT